CGGCCGGCGTCTACGCCGAGGACATGCCGAACGGGCGCCGTTTCAAATGTGACCTAAGCATAAGCGAAGCTAGGTACTCATTTTGCACCTAATGCTTAGGTCACATTTGAAACGGCGCCCGTTCGGCATGTCCTCGGCGTAGACGCCGGCCGGCGTCATGACGCCGAGCGTGCGCCGTACTGTCAGGGTCACAATCAAATGATCCTTTACGGCTCCCTGTCGGGGCCTGCTTGTGCTCCGGCCGGCGGCTCTCATTAATATTCATAAAACTTTTGCGGCCGGTTTCTGTCAGGGACCCGTCCGGTGCCCGGTCAGTCGCCCGTCTTGACCCGTGCGGCGTGTGGTAGGGTGCCGACCGGCTCTTACAGTTCGGCCGGGCAGCTGTCAGGTCCCTGGCGGGTTCCTGGCGGGATCCCGACGGGCTCCTCTCGTGTTTTTGAGCAGGTACATATATAAACGCTGCACTGCCTGCTACCGTTCACTTCAAGTAAAGAGTACACGTCAAGTAAAGAGTAGACTGAAGTTGGCGATGCAGCGTTCAGTGCAACCTGCAAACAACTTACAAGCCCGTCTGAGATTGAGATTGGTGACAACCTACATGTAGGTCTTCTGGCATTGGTAGCTGAAGAAGAGAGGCAGGCAGAACTGGTGCGTCGCAAAAGTAACCGAGGGCCTACTTTCGAAAGTACTTCAACAGTGACGCAGGAAGTACTTCAGCAGTGACGCAGGAAGTGTGCCGTGGCAACTCCTTGCTATTGGGCAATAAAACCACTGAATATCGTTACTTCTGTTGAAATTTGGACTGGAAATAAATGCCAATAACTTCTGATTACATTTTATTACGAAGGCATATGATGTAACAAGAGATAATGTCAGACACATTCTATTCCTGTTATGATCTGTTTTATGAAGTTGGCAAGAGAGCCGTGCCGGCTGTTTTCCCTTGCCCTTCGACATTCTGACACACAAATACAAGGTGTAACACACACAAGTACACGATGTAACACACACGTGGTGAACTGTGCGACGTAGTCTGAGGCAGGAGTTTATATATGCTCCCTATAACCCCCTTTTCCTGACCATCTGATGCACTGATCAGCACATGTGACGTCATAATCTTAGGCAGGTGCCTGTTCGGCCGCCCGACGGGTCCCGGGCAGTGAGGTTACGGCGTCGCTTCGGCGTATTTCGCCGAACGGGGCCCGAAGTGTTTTTAACTCTGAGTTAAAATCGATTCGGCGACCGCGCGGGGCCAAAAATAGGCCGGCAGCCGTCGGGAAGCCCGCCGGTCTCCGTCCAGGTCCCGTTCGGTAGTGCCAAAAAACACGCCGAACACGCGCCGAGCGGGCCCCTTTCTTGAATTGTGACCTAAGCATTAGTCTAGTGAAGGAATATCTGTTAAGTGCCTTTCGTGTTAAGGGCACAACAGTGGGGGATTCGAACCCAGAACCTTCAATTCCTAACCACAAGACCACCTTGCCACCTTAGGTGAAGGAGAAGATGGTGGAGAAGTTGAGAAACTGCTGGGAAGGACTGGAGCCCGAGTCTCAGGTGTTCTACTTATCTACTATCCAGGTGAGTAAGACCCTGACACGATACTCACGATCAATCTGCTTTTACCTCTATGTACCGAGGTTTTGTTTTCGGTGTGTCTGTCTGTTTGCTTGTGTTTCCGTAATTATGGCCACATAGGCACGTCGGAAACACTGATAGAAGGTTAGGTGAAATGGCCCAAAAATGTCACACAAAAGGGGCATACAATTCCTGTCTACAATATCCTGCTGTATACACGTATGTTGCCTTATGGGAGCCAATGAGAAGACGCCTTGACAGACTAAGCGAGAAGCCCACAATAATGAAACTCACAAAAACTTGAAAACTTTGATTTCTTATTTTTCTTGTCGTGGGTTGATCGTAATGAAAGTTCTTAGATAGAGTAAACATGACTAAGGAAGAAAGTAAGGTCATCATCTGCATTGCCTAGTGTAAGAGAAATGTCGCCATGTTTCACTATGCACGTGTTACTTTTTCCTGCACTAGGCGGCCAGAATGCTGAAGGCCGGAGCGGGACCCACCGAGGATTTCCGGCGGCTGTTGGACGGGTTTCACCGACTTGTGCCGGAGGGACTCAAGTCAAGGCTACTGGCATACTACAAGTAAGGCGTAACGATAACTTTTATACCAGAAGGATCACAGTGAAATACGCCACCCTCGATAAAGGTTTTTGCCAACTGTTTTCGTCAGACATTTTTTAAGTCACGTCGTGCGTCGATCATAGATTTTAGAAAATTAAAGTCGGAATAGTTTAGTTCTGCTCAGACCGACGAAGTATGGCGAAAATAAACATAGGAGGTGCAGGGTTTTCCGACAATTGCAGGGAAAGGGACAAAGATGCCTATAGCTACACGTAGCGTAGAGTTAGCATTTTAAAAGTAGTCTGCTTCCATCCCGCTTTCCAATGCCACCACGCCAGACTAACGTTCACGGCAATATTTTTCCTTCCTCAGCTGGCTGGAGTACCTGTTGAAGAGGATCCTGTTCTTCGTGCGCGCCCGTCTGGACCTGGCCAGGGCCACCACTCAGCAGAAGGAGGAGCGCTCACGGACTATCTCAAGGTACAGAATTTCGGAGGGGCACACAATATATACATGTATACTTCGGCAGGCAACTCTCATGTGCTTTTGCATGTTTTAATACTGGAGCGTAACCAGTCGTAGCAAGATTGTTGGAGTGATGTGGGCCGTAGCATAACTTCGCTGTAAAGCCAAGTCAGGCTGCCGAATTTAACGTAATACGTCGTCACTATCGTTATTTTATCGAGAACCACGCTCAGGCCCAAGTTCTGCTGGATGGTATCCACGCGTATTCAGAACCATGTCTGGAAGCAAATTTATGTTCTTGGATACACTGAAACTACTCAGAGCCATGTCCGATCTTTACCCCAAACCCATTCGGGCATAGAACTAGATAGGCAAGGTTTTGGATACAATAGTTGCCCCCGACGTCGACCAGGTATATTGAATGACGGCTCAAAGTTTGCTCATCATCAATTTGTTTGGCGGCTGCGGCAAATGTTTGAGATATTTCTCTTAAATTTGCGACTATTTTGATATGGTTGATGTGGTCTTAATTTTAATTTTGGTGGCTCCAGGCGGCTTCGGAAGTTTGAGGAACACTCGAAGCAGATTTTGGACTCCCTGGAGGAAGAGGTGAAGAGGAGGACAGATTCCATCGTGAACGAGCTGCACACTTACATGACGAGCCCGTCTGTCAGGTCTGTACTTACCAGCGTCGTGACAGCCATTGAATACCTTTTGTTCTCCATAGCTTCATTTCTAAAATTCTCGGGTGCGCCTAACCATTCTGAGAATCTCAAAGCGTTTAGATATTCAAATATTAGATATTTTGTTGCTCACTTATAGATTAAACCTGTCAATCAACAGCTATTTATCTAAATTTGTAATGCTAGCTATGTCCGTTATTACCGTCAGAGATTTCGTTGTCTCTACTAAATAGCAAAGTTCTTTAGTTACAAATACTTCTTTAAGAGCTGACGTTTCGATGACGGCCTGTCAGCATTATCAGAGCAATCATGACAGGTTCTCTGTGCACTGAAGCTGGGAGTTAGGTGAATAGACGATCATCGAAACGGCAGTGCTTGTTGAACAAGTGGTCATTAACCAGCATCATTAACCAACCTGAACACTGATAGGAAGTTAGGTCATAGGCCCCAGAAGTTATCTCATTAATGCCATTAACTGTCTTCAATTTCCAGCATGTCTGTATGTTGCCTTATGAGAGCCAGTCGGAAAATGCATAGACAGAATCAGCAAGAAATTCACAATAATGATTAAGACGAATAAAACATGAAATTAAAACAAACACTATTTGACGGAGGTATGATATTGAGTACTACACGAACTATTATCATGATCTATATGCAAATAAGGGAAGACAAATTTTAATATTTTTTCTTGTAGAGAGACCCTGTGCCACTGGAAGGAGGGCCTGGAGTCGCTGGAGCACGAGACTCCACAGTCCGGTCTTACATACCTTATACTGAACAAAACTAGCCTGTTACGCCTAAATATGGTTTACCGGTTAATGCTTTCTCATTGTAGAGAGACCCTGTGCCACTGGAAAGAAGAGGATACGCCGGACGTGCACGACCTGGAGTCGCTGGAGCACGAGACGCAGAAACTCATCCAGAAGCGTCTGTCCGACACCGTCAGCGCCTGGGAACGAGAGCACGCGCTGGTCAGGACGGCGCAGGAGAAGATCACCGAACTCTTCAAGAAGGAGTTCCACATCCTGGACGACGAGTTCATGGAGATCGAGAAGACGTTCCTGCTATCTGGCGAGGTAAGTCTAATAAAGAAAAAACACTCAGTTTTCCGATGGAAACATGAAAAAATGCGGTCAAAGATAGTATTTTGGTTTACTATTGTCAGCTGTTCCCATAGTTTGAGCTGGTCAACCCCTGTTTTCTTTGTACATTTGGGAGGCAGACCCTTGTGACTTTCTTGTGCAGATGAATTTTTGAGATTGAAATGTGGAAACTGGTACTTTTATGAGGCATTCTTTCAGTGTATTTAACTATAGCATTGAATGGCCAAACGGAATAGTGGTATCTGCCCTAGAGCTATAATAGTATGGATGCCACGCTCCGCCCAATCCAGTACAACCTATCCTTGGTTGGGGAATGATCGGGAGCGAGGTCGCGAGAAGGCCCTTTGTTAATCTCCAAGCAGATCCTGCAGTGGCAAATCCTATGGTCACTCCTTTTGCCAATGGTTACAGCCTTGCCACCGTAGGATCTGCTGGAAGATTACTGAATGTGTGTCAGGGCTTTACAGAGATGTAATGCGTTACGCTGATGTGTTACGCTGAAAGGCGGTTATACCAGCTATACAGATTCAGATACAGATAATATCAATTCTTTGTAATGAATCTAAAGTTTTATGATGAATTGTGTTGAATACCACTAAAAATATGTTTCCTCTCACAGCTGTCGAACCTAGAAGACATCAACGTGGGCCTTGCCGGCTCGGAGATGTCAGTGGAGCAGCACCAGGCGCAGTTCAGCGCCAAGGAGATGGCCATCATCGGGCTGACGGCACCCGTCTGGATCCCGCTCGCCATCGTGGCTGGTGAGCTCACGGTTGCATTTTAGTGCCTTTCTTTCCTAGAACTAACACAGAGTGGTGGAACTCGCTGCCACCAATTACAGTAGGGGCATCATTATCAGATAGCTTTAATCTATGTTAAGAATTAGATGTTCTAGGGTTAAGGTTAACGTAGGGTGTTAGATGTAATGTAGCCAGCTACCGCCGCACCGCGTGCCTGCGAAGCTGGTGTGTTACGCTGACGTGGGGCTATACCGGCTATACAGATCCGGATAGTGACGAGTTATTGAATTATTTAGAATGAATCTTAAGTTTTTATGCTGAATTTCATGGTGAATTTTAAGTGTCTCATACCCCGATCAAGCAATCTAAGGCTGCAATGGTACTCGTATGTTTGTGTACATGTTGCAAATAAACCAGTCATCATAATCACCATAATCAACACAATAAATGGGGCTCTGCATGGGGGATCCTTGAAACGCGCACGCATAAATTTAGGGGGATCGACGGTAAATTCCTACAGTCAAAGCTTAACATGGGAAGTTAAGTTGTTCTTTCGTAAGGCTTTGGGAACGGCTTTATTGGAATAATCTTTTGCATTTATGGGTGTGTCTGGCAAAACTAGTCTGCGCACCTCGGACGCTCTGTTACGATGTTTGGACAAACAGGCGCTTGACTACACGCTACGAAGAATTTTTCAATAACGCGCAGAATACCTGAAATCAAAGCAACCGATTTCGCTTCACAGAGATGAACGAAAGGACCCGGCTGTGATTACCGGTGAATTAAAATTGCTCACTACGGCTCATCGAAAAGGCATGCAGTCCCTCATACATAACATAAGCTTAATCTCACAACAATTGTACAATGTACCACGTCTGGCATCCAAAAACTAATATTACTATGAGATTAATCTACCTGACAAAAAAGTATGCAGCGTGGGATGAGAATGTGCTTGTGCAATCATCGGTGGGATTTCTAGCGCTTGGGCATTAAAATGTTGCTCTGTATGTACATGCCGGGTTGTCACATGCCAAAGTGTGCTCAAAATTGACTATTTAGATCCATTGAGAGAAATCCTGGTATAGAAGATGACAGACTTATGTTTACCGAACGCTCAATTCTACCAAACATGTCTGTTTGAATTATACGCTATGTTTGTTGATAAAAAGGAAACGATGATAGCCGTATTATTGTTGCCGCTCAACCTTCATTCATTTATTATACAGGGAAAATACACTCAGTCTATAGACCTGTTCTTCGGGCATCCCTGATATTAAAAAAGAATAAAGAAAAACTCTACCACCACTGATTATAAATATAATTGACATGATAAACGACATGAAAGACAAACAATATCGTCACATCTTACACACTGATATAAATTGCCGCTGATAAGGCGATTCTTAAAAAAATTCATGCCTAGTAATCAACCTTTGTTTGCTCTAACTAACCTGTCACTTGTCCTACAGGAGTTATCGCCCTTCCAATTTTGGGAAGTATGGCCGCTCAGTCGAAGATTAAGGAATGGACCGAACTTAACAAGTAGGTTTTTTTCTAGCATGAAGTGATATTTCTTTCCTTGTTTGATTGATGTTTGAAGTCTGAGCTTGAGCAGATAACGACGTGCACAAACTTAGGAATTAATGAGACTACTAACACTCCTTATGTTCAACACCGACCACCTGTTTTTAGCTCAAGTGACCACGAGAAAATGTTACCACTGACACCCCTCAGGGTCTAACTCAGAAAAAGGGGATGTGGTAAAATTTCCTTGGGCACATGATGGCTCAGATGACTGGGAACAGTCGTGCCTATATAGCTACCAGGCTTCGGGAAGAGGCAGGCAAACGTAGAAATCGGCCAGAAAGACAGATAACATACCAGGGGAGTTGGTCCGCGATGGGTGAATATTCGGGAGCGGAATTATGTTCTCTCAGCGCGGACCAACTTCCCCGGCATGTCATCTGTCCTTCTGTCCGATTTCTACTCTTTTCACGAAGACTGGTAAAGGCTACTTCCAGGCTCACATTTGGAGGTTGACAACTTGTGTTTTTCTGGACTAGGTACCGGGCGGCTCGCGTGGCGCACATGGAAGAATGTACCAAGATGTACCTGGACCACGTGAACACCGGGTACATCAAGAGCATTGTAGTCGGACAACTGTCAAACCTGCATCACTACCTGGACCAGCTGAAGGTGAATACTGCAATGTTTTTGGCATTTTTTTTGACCTGGGATAAAAGCAAATCGAAGCACAGCCGCTTTGCAGGTAAATCGCCTCTTCTGGGATGACAGATAATCTGCAATATGTGATATAATCAAAGGTTAGCAAAAAACAACAACAGCTGAACTGATAGCATGTCGCCTGTGATGTGTCACATAGCTCCACTATATTAGATAACTAATTTCGATAGTTGGTTGATGTTTTGTCTTATAGTCTTTGGTTGAATCTAGGTTCAGGATCTTGAAAGAGATACATCACGTTGCGTTGTGCCAGATTGTTACATAAATTTGTGTCACAACATTTCTGTCATGTGTAACAAAAAACAAATAATGGTGACCATGAAAAAAAGAAAAAAATTGTTTTTTCTTCAGGATGCCATTCCAAAACTGATAAACGCCGACAAGAAGCTGATTGAGAACCTGAGGACTGAAACTCGGGAGGGTAGCCAACTCATCCGTCTGTACCGGCCCATCAACACCAGGTCAGACAATGCCGATGTTCAAAATTAGTCCTAGGGGATATTACTTATATGAACATTATCCTGATAATATTATAGTAATTAGCCTGATAAAATTCTTACCTGGGTATACTTGATATCAACCATGAAATAGAATTCATTGCAAGGTAATACAATAAATTTCATCCCAACCTCTCAAAGGAGAGGCTACTAGTATTTTCCTTTTCCATTTTCCTTTCCTTTTTCTCACTACTTATTGTGTTTAATATCTTATATGTGAAATATTCTTTCCTTGAACAATCTCGACAGAGGGGATCCTTCTGGGGCAGCTGGAGCTGTTCAAGACAGTGAACATGAAGACCTACGACGTGCAGGACTTATGTCTCTCGCTACTATACCTAACAGTTACAATTGTGTGTAATGTTTTATACGTGAAATACTCTTTCCTTCAACAATATCGACAGAGGAGAGCTGCTTCTGGGGCAGCTTGAGCTGTTCAAGGCGGTGAACATGAAGACGTACGACGTGCAGGACTCTGTCTTGTCAACCTAACAGCTACAATTGTGCTTGACATCAACAATTTCTTTCCTTCAACAACCTAACAGAGGAGAACTCCTTCTGGGGCAGCTGGAGCTGTTCAAGGCAGTGAACATGAAGACGTACGACGTGCAGGACTCTGTCTTGTCAACCTAACAGTTACAATTGTGTTTGACATTAACAATTTCTTTCCTTCAACAACCTCAACAGAGGAGAACTGCTCCTGGGGCAGCTTGAGTTGTTCAAGGCGGTGAACATGAAGACGTACGACGTGCATGTCCGGCTGCCTCGCTACAATTGTGTGTAATGTTTTATACGTGGAAAATATTACTTCCTTCAACAATCTCAACAGAGGAGAGATCCTTCTGGGGCAGCTGGAGTTGTTCAAGGCGGTGACGTAAACATGAAGACGTGCGACGTGCAAGACTTATTCTCTCGCTACTCTGTCTTGTCTACCTAACAGTTACAATTGTGTTTGATGTCTTAAACGTGAGAATATTCTTTCCTTGAACAATCCTAACAAAGGAGAGTTCCTTCTGGGGCAGCTGGAGTGATGTTCCAAGCTTGTTGCCCAACTTAATAAGTCTCTCGCTACTACATGTATATCTTGTCTACCTAACAGTTACAATTTTTGTGTTTGATGTCTCATACGTGAAGAATATTCGTTAATTCATCAATCTCAACAGAGGAGAGCTTCTTCTGGGGCAGTTGGAGTTGTTCAAGGTGGTGAACATGAAGACGTACGACGTGCATGTGCGGGTCTCTCGCTACTATACCTAACAGTTACAATTGTGTGTAATGTTTTATACATGAAATACTCTTTCCTTCAACAACCTCAACAGAGGAGAGCTGCTTCTGGGGCAGCTTGAGCTGTTCAAGGCGGTGAACATGAAGACGTACGACGTGCAGGTGCGGGAGCTGCAGGACTGGGACCGGACCCGGCCCCTCGCCAGCGGCAGCTTCGCGGACGTGTACTCCGCCCGGCTCCGCGGCAGGCCCGTCGCGCTGAAGGTCACCAGGTACTTGGTACTTTATTGAGATATCCATTGGTTGCAAAAGCGACAGCAAAAGCAACCAATCTTCAACAATTACACATAACAACAACATTACACATACATGTACTGAACAATCATATAAAAACGATAAATTAGACTGCTGTACAACATAAATAAAAGAAAGACCACCTATAATACAATAATTTGCCCTTACTTGAGTTACAGTTAATTGGTCTGTAACAAGACTACGTTGGCTTTGTACAGAAATACTTAATGAGTCCTGATGTAAAACTGTCCTTTGTTCTTAAATGATGTAGACCTGATGGTAGGTTGTTCGATGTGAAAATTTTCTTTGCATTCATTCTTTGCACCAGGTGCCCGCTCACAGATGACAACACGCTGGAGGTGCTGCAGGAGGAGGAGATCATGAGGTGAAATTTTATCGATCGATCAACCATTGTGCCCTGTATTGGTGGGGGTATTAATATAAGCTAAAAACACAACTTGAGTGTGCCGTCACCACGTCTTGTGATTACGTGTTGGAAATAAAAAAACATTTGTTGAATAAACCGATCGATATGATATGATGCATGGCGGCTGCAGACATCTACATTTGTATTTCCTCTGTCAGTGTTCATGAAGAAAACTAATGCACCACAAAAGTGTACGAGAAAGTATAAAAGACAATACTAGAGGTTTTCAGAGATAAACTGGGACCTACAGGTTTTCTCATAATTCAGCCATAATATACACTTTTTGATACAGAAAGTTGAGGCACAAGAACATCGTGGAGTTCCTGGGCAGCGCCCTGCAGATGGCACCAAACGGTTCCGCCCGTTTCGTCATGGTCCTGGAGCTGTGCAAGTCGACTCTCCGCGAGGTCTTCTTCAAAAACCCACAGAACTGCCCAGGGAAGCAGAAAAGGTAGCTGAGCTGTGCGATGTCGTAGTTTGTTGCTGTGTGAAGGAAAATATAATGGGAGCATTGGAGCAAGATGCTCAAATTTTGTACTATCTTCTTGTCTTGAAAATTATTATAAGTGCCTCTGGCTAACTCGGTTTCAGGACGTCCTCTTGGGACGTACATGTAACCTGGAGGTTCCGTATTTTGAGAAGAGCCACAACTCGAGCACGTTAAAGAACATACTGCACTTATCAATGAGAATAGGGGCTCATCCCAGTGTGGATTTCACATGTACAGCCCAGTCTTGTACTGACTGAACAAAAAGTGGTATTTTACGTGCGGATGGCCTAGAGGATATGCAAAATAAACAGATGCAAGTTGTTTCAATTTTGATCGTGTGCCATTTGATTTGGCCGACTGAGTCGTGGACTAGATATAAGCACTGTGTCCATATACTGTTTGCAGGTATTCTGCGGAACAAGGCACAGCTCTGAACTATGCCTCCAAGATGGCCGCCCAACTGGCGGACGGACTGCGCTACATCCACGGGTGTGGCTACGTGCACAGGGACCTGAAGCTAGAAAATGTGCTGGTAATTATATTGTTTGTTATTGTACTGTGGCGTCGATGAAGGTTAGTTGTTGTCATTGCTAATTTCTTTTACATCTATTACTAAGCTGTGAGTGGTCTCTAGCTAAGACATTCAGGTAGAACATTATCTAATACCCGGGACAAGGCTTCCTGATTTTGAGAATTTTATATTTACATCAAACACGTATGGACTAGCATAACGGACACTATATGTATTACTAATAAGTATTAAAACCCTACAAAATAACCATGACGTAAATTTTATATCCATACCAATGTACCGTTCCTCTATCTCTTCAGGTGACGGCTGATGACGTAGTGAAACTGTGTGACGTAGGTCTGACGAAGGCAGTGGAGAAGGTGACCGGTACGCTGTGCGGAACTATCCTGTATGCTGCGCCTGAGGTACCGTCATTGCCTTCGACTGAAGGCTATGCCTTCGGAGAAGGTTATGAAATCGGGTTTGCACTGTTTGGCAGATTAGGCACGATAACTCTTGAAGGCAAGGTCCGAGGTTCACGATTTTTGGCAGGCAGGTTGATTTAGGGGTGGCCATTGTCAAGGCTAAAAATGGGCTTCGTGGGGGGTTCCTAAGTCACTGTAGTTGACCTTGGTTTTTGGTGTTTTTCCTTGTCATCAAGATATCTCGAGAATCCTTAAATGGATGTTCATTATTTTTAGTGGGCAAGTTACCGTTGAAAATGCCGAGGTCAAGTTCAAAGATGGGCCCCGTGGGGGTTTCTATGTCACTGCAGTTGACCTTTGTTTCTTGTGTTTTTTCTTGTCATCAAGATAACTCGAGAATCTTTAAATGGATGTTCATGTTTTTTAGTTGGCAAGTTACCATTGACAATACCAAGGTCAAGTTCGGATATGGGCTTCGTGGGGGGTCCCCACGTCATTGAATTAGAAAGTACTGCAGCGAAACTTCTGGTTTTTAAATCTCGTGATATGGACGTGCTAGGGTCATGATTTTTAGATGGTAGGTAGCTCTCGTGCTCAGAAAGAAGTGCCGTAAGTTTGGGCCCCGTAGCAGCTTATTTGGGAAATGCAGAGGCATTTGTTTGAAAATGTTTGAAGTAGGATAGCTCAAGAACCGGTTGACGGATTGTTGTTATTTTTGGTATCTCGGTAGCTTAAGTGATGCTTGACCTAATTAGATGACAATTATGCAAATCACAATCTAATTTACATAATTAATGACAAAAGTCTATAAATCTGCTGCGTTCCATGATAGAACAATTGAAATGGTGGCATATTTAAACAAGAGGAAGAGGAACATTGACAGATATTAATTATGTAAATTGTGACCCAATTTGATTAATTAATAAGAGAAATCTATATGTCTTTCATACTGCACTAGACCTTTTTGGTTTCCACCCTCTGTGGATTACATTGCTTTATGCCCACAAGGATAGCTGGAAAAAACTTTCCTGTTTGTTGAAACAACAGAATCCTTGCGAAATTGGCGAAAGTGGCGCTTAATGCTGCATTAATACTGAAAGTTTTAATACTGGGTTAATGCTGGGTTAACGACTCGGCCAGCCTTCAAACACACATAGATACATCATTCATAATGTACAATGTAGAAAAGGCAATCTTTCTTTTATTAATATTTGTTACATGTACTGGAGCAACTGCATAACTCTTGTAAAATTTGTGAACCCTGACACAAGACTGCACAAATGTACACGCTAATGTTGTAGGGAATACAGGAAACCTATTCATATCTAGGTTAAAACAACAAGTTACAGACAGGAAGCTGTCAACATTGGTTTTAGTTGAAAAAACGTTTTCTTTGAAATTGTTTGTTGAAAAACATTAGTGCCCCAGTGCCCCAGCAGAGCGTGCTTTATTTGACAGGTCTGTGGCCCCCAGTGTGAACATCTGGAATTAGCCTGGTTGCCAGACCCATAGCACACTGGACACAAAGTATCTCAGTTTGGCACCCAGGTAAATCTGGAATATGGATAATGTGAATAGGTTTCCCGTAATACCTACAACATTAGTACATTTGTGCAGTCTTGTGTAGTACATTTGTGCATATCGTATCGTAATGCAACAGGAGTTAAAGATTTAAACCCGATATAAGGTCACAAACTTTGTTTTAATCGATAACATAGTTGGTATACTGTACACAATGGCCAGGTCACTAGAAGGAAGTGGTCTGAACGCATTGAGCAGTATCTAATCTTTATAAGCTTTGTGGCTTTAGCGAGGAGCACGGCGGTATTCTATGAATGACTTTGAGTTTGATGCCTGTAAATCTTCTTCATAATGGGGTCGTGTGGAGAGGGAATAGAGAAGCCCTGCCATTGAAAGGATAGATTTTCACGACCATATTATGGTCCGATGGGACCCCCACAAGAAAACTAACATAGCCAAACTGCGTCGCCAAACCTGAGAAATAACCAGTAAATAACTACTAGTTCAAAAATTGAAGATTGTTAAATTGCAACTAGGATACATATTTTATTTGAATTCTATCCAGGATAAATTGCATTGACAGGATAGACTGGGACGGTTAGGTAGGTCACCCGAGGCTGACCTCAGCCCTGCCAGTCGTACCTCTGGGAACGTCCCCGGAGGACCTGGGCTAATCTATACCACTATCCGGGCTGGAATAGAAAGTCGGGCTGTTTCCTGCTAAAAGTTTGATACGACGGCCCCTCTAACAAGTAAGGCATATATGATAAATGAGTTTCTCTTTGTGGAGGAAGATTAACTTTCTACCAGGCACCATGGATCACTGGAAAAATAGTAGGAAACGGCCAAAATAAAGGGAATAGTATGCCGCTAAAGGGTCAGATAGCCCGCTAGAGAGATACAACTCACCGGGAGGAACCCATTTATCTTACATACCACATACCATCACAACAATTGGCCAGTTTGTGTGATTTTGTAACTTGCAATTGTCTTCAATGTATTGGACATCGCACGCTTCAACAACACTGGCTGCATAGAAGAATAATTTAGTTGAAGGAGTTTTTGCCGTTTTGAAGTTTGGATCACCGCGTATCGGAGGGAAGAAAACAACGTTTCGCGGCCAGACTCCCCAGGCCAATTCTCCTCTTCTTTTTGCCGAATTCTACGATCCGTATTTCCGTAGAAAGACATGGTACAGGCTTGGTGAATAGTCTGTTGCTTCGTTCACTACGATAATCATCTTCACAAAAAACCTACACTATACACACACACAACACCCACCAAAACAATATCACACTGTCGAAGGCATGAGACCTCCGAACTCTAGTTAAATCTTCACTTTCAGTCAACAGTTCAAGATAAATAGATGTTTTTTTATAAAGGGGAAAACTCGCCATGTTAATCCATTTTCTTGTCATTGTTAGGATGATTGCATTCTTATAAATTACATGCACTGTGTGACGAATTTGACAAACGTAAAACAAACAAATAAAAAAAAAACAATCAGTGAAGGTTAAACATCCAGGTAATAATATACGCCTATTACTCAAGGAACTAGATATGATTCTTAAAACGGTCAGACGTTTCAGATAGCATCCACTACCTTTCGTCTGTGACACTGGAGAATTATTGGCCTGGGTGCCATCCTATTTGTAACGGCAACCCCAGGAAAAGAAGTTTTTTCGGAGTTGCCGTTACAGATTGGATGGCACCCAGGCAAGAGAATTATCAGAAAAACTGTCTTTGGCGTAAAAACACAATAATATGTGTTTACGACACTGTAGGTTTTGCGGCAGGAGAAGTACAGCACCAAGGTGGACATGTTCGGGCTAGGGCACCTCCTGTGGGAGATGTGGTACGGGGAACAGGTACTTCATACATTACTTCATACCTTATTATGACATCCATCAGTTGCAAAAGGTACTGCAAAAGCAACTAGTCTTCTTGGATTCCAGAACACAAACTAGTAACGTTACACATACCACACAATCATATAAAAGCGACAACTGCTATACAACATGAATAACAAAATGACTACTTATAATGCATTTCTTTGCTCTTACTTGATGATGAATTACGGTAATGTCGTCAACATTGTTTTTGCACGGACTGAATAACAGGTCTTCAAGGTCGACGCCGCGCAGTTGACCAACGAACAGTTCATCATGGCCGTCGTCTGCCACGACATGAGGCCCAAGTTTCCCGCCAACCGCGAGCCGGTGTACTACTGGAAGGACCTGATGGTGCAGTGTTGGGACGCGGACCCGAGCAAGCGGCCCACTGCCGAGACGTGCTACACCAGTCTGATCAGCAACAAGGACGCGTCTCCGCAAGTGCACTTCAAGATAGACAGTTCCACTGAGATTAATAGTTGAACGGTTTGAGAAAAGTGTTTATAATTCAGGGAATTCATCATCATCATGCCTATGGATTAATCCAGTGAGGTACGTTTGATAAAGACACTCCAGTACCCCCTTGTCCCTCATGGTGGACACTAAGAGCAGTCCATGTGAGATCAGTGTCTTTCTCTGACATTGACAAAAGTGTAGTATGTGGTATTCACATTCAACGTCTCCCAGTGGGAAGCCACTGGAATAGTATACCGGCTGGTGAATTCAGAGATTTAACATTAATGTAGGATATGCAATTTTTCAAACATCAAAATTGTTGTACAGTGCGGAAAGACTATTGAGACAACCTCTCGGTCGAGACAAAAGATGAGGTTTTAAGTTGTACATACAGAATTATCTGCCATATTGTATATAGGACATTCCTTCCGTATATTAAGGAAGTTTTGAAAAACGAAAGTGATGTTTAACCAGTTAAACCCAAGTGAACTCAATGAAAAGTTTAGCTACTCCTTCACTGGCCATTGTACTGGGGAGATTGTTGTTGTTATTCCCAGATGTTGGTCTTGATGAGGAAGGCACCCCCCTTCCAACCCTTCAATTTTCAATTTGTTTTATTTGGTAAGGCTCTCGCGGGCAAATACCCGAATTTCGTCCTTATTACATAACATAACGGATTAAAACAATGATTTGCTGCAGTCTTCATTGCACATATGAAAACATGGCAAGCACACTATTAAATCATTTCGAAAACGATTACACAATTAAAATCTGTACACAATATGCGGCTATCACGTAGGATTTAGCTAGATACTATAACACTACTGGTAAATTGTCTTGTTATAGAGACGAACAGCGCAATGAAGGAACGAATTGCTAAGTTTCTTAGTCCGGGCTTAAGGTAGATTGCCAGAGTTTCTGAGTGGATATAGTTGGGTTTCTGGTGACGAGGCACTATACACGTTCATGCAGGTGCTGCCACATGTATTCATGGGTTGATTATACTTAATAATTGCGAGAATGTTGTAATAACTGCTGTTTACTGGTGTTTACGCGTTCAATAACTTTCCGATGTCCTTCGTTTATTTTTTGCATTGTGAGATGGCATGTGGCTCTTCACGTCAGAGGCGACTAACAGGAATGTTCTAATAACTGTTAAACTGTTCATTCACGAAATCATCTCGTAACAAAGGTCAGCATCAGCGTTAGACACAAAGACTAAGACTGCAGGACTTATTAAAAACTTCATGTAAAGATCAGCAACTGAATACCATAGACGTCAGAAGAGAGCTTCATGCACAAAGGTTGCTAACAAACAACATTTTTTATCGCTAAGATACGACGTTCTAACTCCTGAATAAATTGGCTGTCTTTAGCCAGTACTTGTAGTTTAGCACACAGCTGCCTCGTTTCTCCGATCAGCTAGTCAGAAAGGAGAACACTAGTCACAGCTACGCGTCGGTTTTGTAGGCTGTCAACATGGAAGAAGACACGGACGGTTCGCCAGACGAAGATGGCATGGGCCATGTTCTCTCCCTCGGCTCAACATCTCGCGATCTGCAGACGGCGTATCTCGTCATCAGCCTGGTATTGTCGGTAGGATGCGGCATGCTGCTCATCTTCTTGGTTTGGAAGAAAGAGTATCTCCAAAAGCCCAGCCACTACCTGCGCTGTAACCTGGCGGTAGACGACATCGTCTTCGCCGGCTGCCTGATTCCCGTCCGTATCTACTCACTTTTCCGGCAAAACGCCAGCGGGGGACAGCTGTTCTGCTCGGCTGAAGCACTGATAGGGCCCGCAGGTTTGTTATCTATGCATGGTACATACCTCATGATGGCAGTAGACCTGTACTATTTCGTGTGCCATCCCCTACACTACTACGACAAAGTCACCACCAAACGCGTGGTCCTGGGCATCTTGGCGTTCAGGGTCTTGTCTCTCTTCGGCGGACTAGCGCCTGTGGCCTTCGGCGGACTGCCCGAATACAACCAGCGTTGTGAGATGGAGTCTGCGAACAGCACGTCCTTGTCTGGCATCTTCAGAAGCATGAACTTAGTTTTCTGTTTACTTGTTGCTCTCTTCGTCCTATTGATCTACTGCCTTATCTTCAAGGAGGCCAGAAGACAGCAGGAAAGAGACGAGAACCGGGACCTGTGGGTGTTCCAGACCAAAGCATTCAAAGTCATGGCGCCACACGCTATCGTTTTGACTGCAGCCTTAAGCACCACCATCTTCCGCATAGCCACGATACGAGGTCTGGTCAGTGAGGAACAAATGAAACAGCGTGCCCTCGTCATCACTGCACGCGTGGCCCTCCTCCTGTACCTGACGCTATCATCCGTGGCGAACCCCGTCATCTACAGCTTCCGGCTGCCAGAGTTCCGCCGAGCCTTAAGGGAGCTGTGCGGATTGCCGACCAACGCCAACCCGCCGCCGGCGGCACCGACGCGGCGGCATCGCCAGGACGACATGGAGATGGCCACCTTCACCGGTCCCAGGCGTCGCGGGGCACCGGCACCGGCTTCAGAATTGGCGCCAGCTCAAGCCTCTACACAGGGCCTGATCATGCAGTTCACGGCGGAGGACATGCCTTCCGATCAAGCAGAAAAGCAGACAACGCAGGCAGACACGACCCCTGGACCAGCGTCCAGCGCAGGACAACGTGGCCGCGAGACCGCCTCGGGGCGACCGATCCGGCTGACAGTGAGGGCGGAGGTGCACGCCGAGCCGAGGCCACGTCCCGGACAGGAGGACGCGACGGTAAACCTCCCCGGTCAAGTACACACGGATGCCGAAGAAGAGGACGTCCCTACAATAACTTTGGACACCGACACCGACGAGCCAACAGCAGGACACACTTTGGACCGTCCACCTTCGCGTCCGAAGTTGGCATGGGAGGAAGATGCAGGCCAGTACAAGAAAGGCAAACCCTAAAGACGAGACGCTGAAATAAGGATTGTCATAAAACAGTGAAACGAAACAAGACTGTGGAACTATCCGAAAACAACTGTTCATTTAAGTATATGTCGATGGACTTTGAAAATCTGTTTCCATCTGAAGTCGGACAAATGAACGAGTCAAACAAGGAAGAGTTTGGGATTAGGAGTAGGACCAGCGTTTTATCGGCTATCCACAAGGGCAGAGGTAGGCTTGTTTTTACAAATCGTTCAGATTAGTTCATTTACTTGACATCTGTAAGACAGAAGGCTGTTCCACAATCATGATCCATGCAACCTGGAAATGTTGGTTTCCCTTAACATAATGTATTAATACTCTGGTAATGCGTATCATTGCTCACATTACAAAAATGGAGGGGGGTTTTGGACCATCTCACATTACATATTTAAGCAGCCATGGCGCATATTCAAAAGAATTCTTAGATCTAAGTCCTATTTGGGTCCGGTAGTCCGCTCAGTTAGTCGAGCTTGTCTCGAATATTTATGTATCTGACTTAGGTTGAAGATATGCTTTTCAGACCTTGCACTGACCATATTTGTAAGTTTTAGACATATTTATGCCTCTAGAGAGCACTTTTATTTACGATTCCTAGCAGACACACATTAAGTGTTTGTAGTAGTGAAACTTTACTGACAATTTCGATGAATAGATTAAAAACTTTACGTGATGTACAGATACATGCAGGATTGCTTACATATTTTGTCGTTGCATGGTCAGTAAAATTTAAATTCAGGAAATGTACATTTCAATATATATGTCAAAATGTAGTGAGTGAGCAGTTTCAACTAAGTATATTTAAGAGTCATTGCACGAGAAAAACAGGCAAAACGAGGCAGAGGGGTCGGCTAAATTGCCTCGTACTTCGTATGGATAATAAGTATTTGGAACTGCTCATAGTTTATGGAATGACTCTTAATATCTAGACTTCTAACGTATGTTTACAATTTCATTCTGTACATAGTTCTTCAGTCTTGGTATTTATGACATGTAGCCCGTATATGCTGGCCAGCCTAGCCAGTTGTAAATTGTTATGTGCCATTTCTATTGAGTTTGCCACGAACCTCTAGGGCATAAAGTTCGGTGTCTAATGTTTAGTGCATTTGGCTTTCGAATATCTATGTAGCTCTTTGCTCATTTTCGTGTAATGTGGCCCATATACGCATCGACTTGAGTAGCTAATTGCTATTTTCTGTAATTATTCTGTAATTTATGTAATGTTTTTAGTGGCTATATTGCGATGTTGCAGTGGAATAAAATCTGGTGGCTTGTTGTACATATACTGGCTTCCTAGTATCTTTGGTATACGTGTATCTGTTCTAGTGTTTGGTCTATCCTATACGCGTTTTCGCGCCAAAGGCAAAAGACGGAAACATTTCTTTTCAATTTTCATATCACTAGTGCTGACATACTCCTAGATTGCTCCGACTTTGAAGCCTTAAATTTGCGTCTAAAGGTATCTTTATCACCACTACTTCTGGTATATACAGCCTGATCAGCAAGAGAACATTTATAAGAGATTCGGTTGCGTATTTATGGCTGCACATTTGGAATATTTGGAGATCCTTAGTTCGACGCCGGCTGCGGCACATGTACAGCCCCCCTCCCCACACCTTGTCGATGCCAGTATGAAGATAATAGGAGTTTGTCAGGCTCGACCATGTGAAGGTAAACATCATAGAAGAAGAACTTTATTGCACGACAATTGCACATGTTACAATGTACGGCAAAGTACTAACAAAACAAAATAACAAACAATAAAGTAAATGTGTTGAATAAGACCTTAAATGTAGAATAAAATATAACATATCCTAATTACTCAAACAACAAGGGCTAGCACAAGACTTTGATAGTGTTACAGTCGAGTGGGGGCTAATCACGAGTTTCGGTATTTTTTCTAATAACAAAGCAGTCTTTTATATATTGACCTATTTTTGCATTGTGGGAATTATTACATGTAAAGATATATTCAAATCTGTCTCTTGCACCGAGACTCTTGAAATCTACTGTATTTGATTCGAGAAATGAAAATAGCATATAGCGTAAAACATCATATATTTCCTTGGCAAACGTTCCGTTCTAGTTGCCATCGGATTCCCTGGTGTAGCGGTTATCACATCTGCCCAAAGGCGCGGTCACATTTCCCAACCCGGGGCCCGGCCGGGCAGTCGTATGGAAGATTAATTACGATATAAGACAGCAAAACACACAAAAAAAGTTTTAGAAAATTAACCATGAGCACTATTTGTATGTACTCTTGATACAAATTGTTTATTATTCGTTCACGCAAACAACCCGGCCGGGCCCCGGCTTGGAAATGTGACCGTGCCCTAACACGCAGAAGGTCCCCGGTTCGATCCCGGGCGGAATCAGACCTTTGCGTGCTGTGCATGAAGGTCGCAAATGGTATCTGTATCTGTATCTGTATCTGTATAGCCGGTATAACCGCCTTTCGGCGTAACACACCAGCTTCGCAGGCACGCGGCGCGGCGGCAGCTGGCTATATTACACCGATCGACTTGTTCCACCTAACCCTTGAACTTCTAGCTCTAGACATTGTTTAAAGCTATCTATTGACAGTGCCCCTACTGTACTTGGTGACAGTGAGTTCCACTCTGCGATAGTTCTAGGAAAGAATGAATTCTTAAACACTTCAATCCTTGGTTGATAACTCTGGTACTTGAATGCGTGGCTATTTCTTGTTCTCTTCTGGGCTGGTATTAAGTACTTAGTAGTTGGGACATCCACCAGTTTATTAGTCATTTTGTACATCATGCATAGTCCAGACATCTTTCTTCTGTCTTCAAGTGAGGTCCACTGTAGGTTTCTTTTCATTTCCGTGACACTAGCACCTCTTACATAGTTGTTCATACAGAATCTTGCAGCTTGATTCTGTACCCTTTCCAATTTGTCTTTGTTTTTCTTTGTATATGGATCCCATACTGTCGCAGCGTATTCTAGGTTCGGTCTTACAAGTGACGTGTATGCAAGTGATTTTACTCTAGTTGGACATGCCCACAGATTACGTTTAATCACTCCCAATGTCTGTTTCGCCTTAGTTGTGATATTATTAACATGTGCACCCCACTTCAGTCCGCTTGTCAGCGTGACGCCCAGATACGGATGGACTTTTGTGGTTGCTAAAGCCTGACCACAAAACTGGTAGCTAGTTGCATGTGGTGTTCGTTTGTTTGTTATGTGCATAATGTAGCATTTTTCGGGATTAAACTGCATGAGCCATTTGCTTTGCCATTCTTCCAGGGTGTTCAGGTCTTTATAATACTTTACACCAAAGGGGTAAAGTAAATATGTGCATCATTATTCTCACACGAACCACAACCACATGTTCTGGGAAATATCTATCGCGTTTCCAATGATGTTCATTTGAATATGCTAATCAAGTGAAAATGGTTATTGTCCGTCCCGCACTATGTTTCTATGTGTGGGACACAACACCAGCAACATCTGCCTGTGTCCCACGTGTATTGCACTGTTGCAATTTCAATAAATCAAATCAAATCAATCCCCACCATCTCCTCCATCTCCTCCATCGCATCCCGATCCCCCGTCGTAAGATCCGCCATCACCACCGCCGCCACCACCCGCGCATGCGCACAGCATGCAGAGGCAGGCGATGGGAAGGATGACGATGCCGAAGATGACGAACATCAGCACCAGGAGGGTGACGTAAACACAGCCCTGCAAGTCAGCCCAAAATCACACATCAACACAAATTCCGAGATTTCACATCTCTTGGAAATTATCATCGAAGTTTCCGTTATGAATTTCGCTTTATTTCATTTGTTGCCCCCACTCACCTGCTGTCACTCACTCACTCACTCACTCACTCACTCACCCACTCACTCACTCACTCACTCACTCACTCACCCACTCACTCACTCACTCACTCACTCATTCTTCCTTGCATACTACGAAGGGCGAAGTGCCTGGACAAGTTGTCTTACAGATATAGACTTCCAGATAGCTACTTAAAATTCAAATACTTATGGACACAAACACGCACGCACACACTTTGCAAATGCATAATAAGAACTGTAAAATATCCTAGTTTACCTTTCCAAAGTATAAGTACAAGTAAGTACCTTTCCTTTGGGGCTGTACCAGGGCTGGCGTTCCTCTTGTCCCCCGGGTCCGGCAGGTTGTACCGGGGGTGGGAACGTCTGCCCGGGGGGTGGGTAGTTCTGCCCAGGGGGTGGGTAGGGCTGCCCGGGTGGTGGGTAGTTCTGTCCAGGGGGTGGGTAGTTCTGTCCTGGTGGTGGGTAGTTCTGCCCGGGGGCAGGATAACCTCCCCCGGGGGGCACGTACGGTGTTTGACCCGGAACTGGATACGTCGGGTCACCGTGTCCCGCAGGGTACGCTGGGCCATCCATCGAAGGTTTTGAGTAACCCAGACTCGACTCGCTTCTCAGACCTACAAGAAGCAAAGCCAAGAGAAATATTAATGTGAGGAATCATCATCTACCAAACGAAACAAATTTATCAAAGCTTCAAACTTTACTGTTTAAGACTCAAAATGTACATACAATAGGCAGGGGACTCGGCGTCTGTGCATTGTCCCTGAATGGAGCACGATGCTTTGTCACAATTTTACAAAAACAATTACAAAGACGATAACACAATCTATTTATAATTCACCATGCCCCATTTCATGCCTGGCTGCGAGCGATATCGCACAATTTCTGTAAAGAATGTCAAAAATTCTCTTTGATATGGTGCATGGAAGCAAGCAAAGACTTACTATAGACTTACTATAGGCACTGCCAGCCAGGAAACGGACTTCTTGGATGCTGACTGTAATTGCAACCGGTTCAACCGGTTCGTCGGCAGCTGTACGTACATTTACAACAATAGTATGCAAAGGAGCTCTAGGGTCTGCGTGTCTTTTTTCCGTGTCACAGTCACCTACTTCAAATCGTAACTGAACTCCCAATCTATTATTCGTTACCCTGATGTACTTTACCAAATTTAGTTGATTTCGTGTAAAATAGGTGTTAAAGACAACGCTTAACCCATCCCAGTCGACCACAACTTCTCTATGAATGAAACAAAGGAAAGTCTACAAGACGTCCTTGAAGAAACCCAAATCTTTTCAGATGTTGACCACTCCATGCAGACAACGTCTACAGATCTTCTGTTAAATATATGTGCGTGGTTTCTATGCCAGTTGTAAAGATGTGTACATATCTTTTGTTACATATCTGCGTTTTTCTACGCCAGTTAAACCGCCGCATACATGGCATCCTAGTTTTCGCTACCAAAGGCTTGATACGAGTATCATCCCCTCCCCCTTTAAACAAACCAGTTTGCCGTTTCAAACATCGCAAGATTCACACTTGGAGAGACTTCAACCTTACCTACTTTCTCTGATTGATCCTACTCCACAAAGACAAATGAGACCCTCTGGAAGAAAACTAATAAGTATGTCAACGTTGTCTACTGGTCTCGCTGTCACTGGAACATAAGTAAAGGTCTCGGACCGGAGTTTTTTTTCACAATTTTGGATCCGACGGACACCCTCAGACCTAAGGGCTACAACTCCGCCAAGAAAAGTACGCCGGGAAATCTCATTACATCAGTCAACAGAGGTTTCCAGCCGGCTTCCGATAGGATTTTGGTTACTGTCTGTTGACTCTACAATTTGGGTAGAAACTGTAGTCAAATGTAAATTTTGGATACGAAAAATATTTCTTTTGCAGTTTTTTCAACGGACCTGCCTGAAAAAAAGAATTTCCCCACCAGGGTGACGGCTTAAATGCTTATATGCTGAAATAGCTTACTTCGTGTTTTGAAAAAAAAAAGATAGGTTGTTGCCATAAGTTTTTCGCAATCTCCGGTGACGCAAATGCCTTGAAATTAAATTCCACACAGAACGCAGCTATTTGGGTCATCAGGCGACAAACTGCATCACCCTCTGCAACATGGCTGACAGGGGTCGGGTTACAAAGATTCAGAGATCGAACAGCTACATCAAGACCATTCCAGTGATGCGTAGCATATGGAATGAAAGACTTTTTATACCTAGTTGTAAGACAAAGCGGTAGCCGTAAATTAGATTTATTACGAAGATCATATGAAGTCGAAAAAGAAACTTCGGGAGAGATCAGGTCCCTGAGATACTGACGGGTATGGCCATGGATTACTTTGTACATCATGATCAGTGAGTGAACATGGCGACGATCAGAGAGTCTCTCCCAGCCTAAATCAACAAGGAGTGAGGAGTAAGAAGACCCTCTGACAGCCCCTGAAACTGTAAGTGCACATTCATATTGGACTCGTTCTAATCGTTGAGAATCATACACAGTGCATCCATGCCATATTATGTCAGCATATTCAAGAAGAGGTCGAATAAAAGATTTAAAAATAACATCAAGTACAGTGCGTGGTAATCTAAATTTCAACTTGTTGAGAGTGGACACTCGTTTGGATACATTAGCAATCATATGTGAAATTTGAGTTTCCCAAGACATGGTGGAGGTAAGTATCATTCCTATATGCTTATGAACTTTAACAGATTTAATAACACAATTATCAAGTATAATGGGGGGATGGTCTGGAGAATTGGATTTCCTAGAAAAACACATCTCTTCAGTCTTTAGCGGATTAAGCTCCATAAGCCAGGTCGAAGACCAGCGTGATATCTTCCTAAGATCAGAATTAAGTCGATCAGCTGAAGAGTTGGGATTATCCACAATGTCCAGTAGGGAGCTATCATCTGCAAATAAATAGGGGCAGGTAACCAAACCATCCACCATGTCATTTATGTAAATAAGAAACAGAAGGGGCCCAAGTACCGACCCCTGAGGTACACCTGCGCTGACATGTTTCCAGTCGGAACAATGACCCTCAATAACAACTCTTTGTTCTCTATCAGAAAGATAACTGTAGAGCCAATTTAAAATTGGACCATCTACCCCGTTTCTTTGAAGTTTAAAAATTAATCCTTTATGCCAGACCTTATCAAAGGCTTTCGAAAAGTCAAGATAAACCGCTCGGACTTCTCTGTTGGAGTCAAGAGCGTTGAAAATTTTGTCGGTAATACAAATAAGCTGGTTAACTGTCGAATCTCCTCTGATAAAGCCCGACTGAAGAGTATACAAAAGGTTTTGAGACATCAGATGATTATACAAATGTTTATAAACAATTTTCTCTAAGATTTTTGACAAACAAGGTAGTAAGGAAACGGGGCGATAGTTTGACACATCGTCATGATCTCCTTTTTTATAAATCGGAACCACATTTGCCCGTTTCCAGGCTTCGGGAAAGACACCATGGCAAAGTGATAAATTAAAAACATATGCGATTTTATCAGATATATAAGGACATATTAATTTAAGGAAACGGTTATCAATATTGTCATAGCCACATGCCTTTGATACATCTAAGGAAGAGACATAAAGTTCAATCTCCTCAGGTGTAGTAAAACATTCTGAGAAGCGGACATCAGTAAGAAAATCTAGTCGAGGGAGGCTAGACTTTGAGTCATCTATAGTGGACTGGTCAGAGAAATATTTGTTAAACATAATTGCCTTTTCCCTAGAGTCGGTTACATAGGTATGACCAGACTTTAAGGGTGGAATAGTAGAACACACTTTACTACAGTAAAAGGATTTAACAATGTGCAATGGGTCATCACCGTTCCACAGTGACTGTGTAATCTGTCTTAAGGAGCTTTCCTTGGTCTAACTTCCTCATGACTTACAGTTCGCATATGTTCTCCATCAAACTGACGATTTTTCTCCAAAATGTCTACCTAATATCGAGCTATCTGAAAAATTGAATGCATGACATTTTGTCTACGTACATTGTCCATACCTATTTCAAATGCTTTATTACATTCGCTAGCATTGTATTATATACATAATCTTGCGCCAAAATAAAAACAGAAAATACATTTTTATAACCGCTCGCCAAAAAAGACCAAATTTACAATTTTTACACCCGGTCTAGTCCTCGAACACAAAATAAATGAACTAGTCAAATAAATCCAATGCGCTTATGTACATGTATGCAAGCAGATTTCACCAGTTTACAGTAAATATTATATAGAGCAAGAGGGGCGTACGAGTAAATTTATAGCTAAAACCAAATCACTCAACTAAAGTCCCAGCACAAATGGGTCATGATTTCTACATTGATTTAAATCTATCATCTTGCATCATATTCTAATTATAAAAATCAAGGACCAAACAAATCTAAATCTGGTTCCTCAACGGTAGCAAGTCGAAAGAACGTACTGCGCCTGCACAAAACCCCCATTTTCACGGTTTTATTATAGTTGGAGCTTTTGGTCAACGTTGCATCAGAATTTTGCCTGTTGCAGACTTTTGCATTCTTTTCCGACACAACATTTGGAAACTACAGACGGAGTGTTGACTTATACGACCTTATACGAGACGTTTTGACGTGCTATGCACAATTCGCGCAGGTGCAGGACGTTCTGCCGACGTGCTCTCAACGGTCGCTCAGCGGTCGCCGTCTAGTGGACGGGGATCTAATATTAGCCCAGTAACTAGAACACTTTGTATTAGCCTAGTATAGTATCCTTATGTGTTACTTATGTACTAGTATGTATGTATGTCTAAGTCAAGTAGTGTATCTTTTGTCTCCACTTTTCTACATACATTTGTTATGTGTCTGTTAAGTCTTGACCTGTACCTAGCCCGTTGTGGCATGAATGTACAATAAAGGTATTTCATCGTCATCATCATCTAATCTACGTATCTCCTCCGTTTCTCTGTTCAGCACGGGTGGCGTCAATGCTGCTGTCCTTCGATGTGGCGAATCTTCGGTAGCTGTACACATGTGTGGAGCCGGACTCTAGTCACTGAAAAATAGAAACAGATAAATACAGCATTGGTAAATGAACAGACACATAAAGACGTGAAGACACGGGTTAAGGAATTAGATTAAAAGATTCACATTTTACATGAAAATAACATGAAATGGGCATTACACATTTACTATAATCATGGCAAAATATTAAGCACGTGCGTATGCATAGAAATTTGACAAATATGTCACCGCAAAAACCGGAATATAAAAACACCGCGAACATTTAAAGATTTACAGTAAGAGCAACATATACTCACTAGAAATCATGATCATGATGGTAATCATGATGGTAATCATGATCATGATGGTGATGATGACTTCCATGGTGATGATGATGGTTGTCTGACGTCAGAATGGCCCAGGCGAGCCACAAGATGACGCCCACAATCCCCACAAAGAAGTACATCAGCACAAGAACCACGATCCAGCCCCAGCCCTGGAGGAGGAGGCCGTAAAAGAAAAGAAACGACTCATAAATGACTAGAAAGAGAAAAAGGAAAAGAAAAAAAAATGACTAGAAAAGTAACATTTGCAAAGCAAATGCGTTCTGTTTACCTTTACATGGTCAATGCTAACAAACTACTGCTCTGTTATTGTTATTCAGGCACATTGATATATAATATATGGTGAGCAGCCTATAGCTCTGTTCTGCTACATAATGTAACCCAACACCACGGGCTGTCTGCTACGATGCTACTCGTACCATGGTGACAGACGTCTAGTCCAGGTCATTGACCTCATTTGTTTGGACAAGAAGAAGAAGAAGAACAAGAGGAAGGGAACACATTGTTGCACACGTTGCTATCAGAGGTGCGTTGCTAAGTACTGCCGCGAATTCACAATACCAGCTTTCTATTCCTATGGGTTAGTAGCATTTTTATTTTTGGCCGGAATTTTTTTTATTCGCCCGTGCGCACTAGTTTGCCTGTTTGGGGTCTTCAGAGGATGTCATCCATAAAATTAAGGAAGTGTGGCCTTATATCTGGGGACCCAAAACCTGATGCGAAAAAAAGTTTGGCGATGATGATGTGGCAGCGCCGTTACGGATTTTCCTTCTTTAATCTGGAAGCAATATTTCAGATGTGTACTAAGGAATGTTGAACTGTCCAACCTTACCTTCCCCTGGAGAGAGTACCATTTATACGGGTGGTCCCGCCTCCAACACCGACTGCAGAAGTCCATATTTTGGTCTGCTGTAGTGGTAGTGGTAATAACACGCGTAGTCCTGCTGGCCGGCTGTCTGTAAGGAAATTGTAGAAACTGCGTTGACATACATGTATAGTGCACTGTATTGAACAACTAAGACGTTACAATTTTATGTGTGTGTGTGTGTGTGTGTGTGTGTGTGTGTGTGTGTGTGTGTTTGTGTGTGTGTGTGTTTGTGTGTGTGTGTCACGAGTTTGGTCTGTACAATATATTCAGCCACGCATGTGTGTCAAGTTGACAGCAGGTGAAACTTATTATAACTAGAAAGGCCAATATTTGCTTTGGAGCAAATACAGCGATGGGTTCACCACATTTTACGACATGGCAGGGAAAGAATGAGAAACACAAGGGAAAACAATGATTTACATTGATATAACTATAATATGAAGTAACATACAACTAAAACAACAGTTGGATAGCTATTCCCTACTTTATTGGTTAGGATTTTTAATTGCATAATGCAAACTGTTGATTTTCAAAAAAAAAAAAAAACGTTCATGCCCCGCATTCCAATGCTGGAGCAGGAAAGCTTGAAATACCTATATATACCAAAACACTTGAATACAGACATACTGTCAGTATGGAAATGCTCTGTGCAGGTGTTAATCAAGTTAAATCCCAACAGCCAATCAGCAAGAAATGCGCTGTGCAGGTGGAAATGCTCTGTGCAGGTGTTAATTAAGTCGAATCCCAACAGCCAATCAGCAAGAAGAATAGAGGAAAGCTGCATGCCTATTGGTTGATGCCCTGCATTCCATTGTGATGACTCATGCCCAGACGTGGTAAACACGGCACACTAACACAGTAATACATTTGCTATAACACAGCCAAAAAACTCAAATAAAACCATTCTAAAAGCCTGTATCACAAAAATTTAAAAAAACGCCTAGGGGTATTTGCCCATTGTACCTCCATACCAAATTTCAGGACCTTAGGCCCTAAAATGAAGAAGCTGAATCCATTTAAAGATATGGCAGGAGGAGGAGAAGGAGGAGAAGAAACATCAGAAAAAGCAATATGGGTTCACCACCACTTCGTGGTGTGGTGAACCCATAAATATTCCGTATGGTCAAGTGTCCCATATATGTCATTTTCAGTCTGATGATTTTACTCACTACTTTTCTTTTAAGTTATGTCAAAGGCAACGTTTGATGCAACCAAAGGTTTTTCAACATTCTACGGTTCGGAAGAATACTAGATACATGAGATTCCTTTGGGATTAATAAAATTCAGTCAGGAATTGTGATGCCATGAAAGTATAGAGAGTTGAAACTATGTGAGTTCCTTTGTTATATATAATGTCATTTTGGATCGTAGGTGTTTTCGTAATACTGTTTTTTTTGTACTTTGCATGTCCAGCATTGCCTGACAAACAAACAGGTTTTTATATAACTAGTTGCTGGTGAAATAGATAAATTGAAAATTGAATTGAATTGGTCTTTCTGCCGGCTTACCCTGAGTACGCTGGAGGCGGTGCCTGGGGTGGCTGCGTCTGTCCTGGGGGTGGGAACGTCTGCAAGGGGGGTGGGGGTGGCTGTGTCTGACCCGGAGGTGGGTAGCTCTGCCCGGGGGGTGGGGGCCCATCATTGGGGGTGGGGGTGCCGTTGGAGATAAGGGGGGGCCTTGTGGCGGAGGGTAGGCTTGCCTGGGGGCAGGGTACGCCGGATCATCCTGGTACGGCTGCCCGGGGAGTGGGTAGCTCTGCCCGGGGGATGGGTAGTTCTGCCCGGGGGGCGCGTACGCGGGGTCATGGGCGGAGTGAGTTTGACCCGGAACCGGATACGGCTGGTTACGGCCGTGTCCCGCAGGGTACGCTGGGTCATCCATCGAAGGTCCCTAAAATAACAATAATAAGGAATTTTAGACGGAAAGCTGAGAAATTGTAATTTTGTGAATGACCACAACTGAGTTCCTCACTCAAAAATCTCTTGGTCACAATAAAATTTAAGACATTGCATCTGCCTTTGGACAAAATTACAGCCTGGGCTCATATACTTTCCTGTATTGTGACTGTAACTCCAAAGTAATGATCTACCGTATAGAGTCAAACCTGCACATGTACAAATGACCACCTCTACATGTAAGGACCACCTGTTGTGACCACTTGTTCATGGTTACATAATTCTTTCCTATTCACACAAGCATGAAGAATCCTGTCTATAGCGACCACCTGTCCACATAGATGAGAGTTTACCTGTCCCATGACATGAGCGGTCTTCTTGTGCAGTTTCGGCTGTACTTACCTTGTTCTACTGAAGAATTCCTCACCGACGCTGTACCCATGTACGGCTAGTCAGGTACTGTAATGGCCATATTCCTCTGAGTGAATCAAATACATACAGTCCAACCGTCAACCGAACATGACTAAAGAGTCCAGAACAGCAGCCTAACTTCAACACAGTCTTTCATGTTCATGGTTGAACGTGCTGTGGGTCGTCCCGTTCGTGCTGCTGTCTTAACTTTCGGAGTGGACCAAAAAGATAGTGGGGAAGGGTGGGTAAAACTGTTGGTGACTTTCTTGGTTGTCTGGGTTAATGTGCACGTTTTCGTTCTCTTCTGCTGTTTATGTGTCTACGTATTTATTTTGGGTACTTTATTACTTTAACTATGCAGATGCCTGTCCTTTTTTCTCTTTTACCAACTCCAGCATTCCTGTTTAGTTTGTTCCGTGGGGCGTAGACGTCCCGGTCGGGTATACAGTGTCCTGGTTGTCAGATAAACAAGCATACACAGCGAGGAGAACAGTAGTGTCGTGTTACTGCATATTCTAGTTGATGGCTTGTTGCTTGCGACAAGTGTGGAGATTCGCCCAAGGCACGGGTTTAAAACAGTTGCTTTTCAGCTCTATACACTATGCATTGTACGCGTTCTACCTCTGTCTCTCTTAGCAAGAAAGATAGCGTCTTGAAAGCTTCGAATAATAGTCTTGAGGAGCTGTTGGTTCAAGTGACAAGTGCTGTGATTCGCCCAAAGTACAGAGACATAAACGGTTGCTTTTCACTACTGTACTGTAGTGTGCTGTAAGCAATCTATCTCAGTTAATTTGGTGACAAAAACCAAGTGTTTCTCTCAGCAAGAAGGATAATTGCATCTGAAGGCGATCATTCATAATCATTGACAATTTTGGTGGCGTCTTGGACAAAAACCCGACAGCTGGTTTGTATGGACCAATCGGTGGCCTTGTTACATAATTTGTACGGCCCACGGCAACAAACATGGCGGTCACATATCAGGTTAAAGGCAAGCAGTAGTATAGTGATTATTTAAATGTCATCGTTGGGTCATGCAAGGTTCGCAGTGATACGACGTCGGACATTTGTTTATTTGTTATGGGTTCACCACACCACGAAGTGGTGGTGAACCCATATTGCTTTTTCTGATGTTTCTTCTCCTCCTTCTCCTTCTCCTTCTCCTTCTCCTGCCATTTTTTAAATGGATTCAGCTTCTTCATTTTAGGGCCTAAGGTCCTGAAATTTGGTATGGAGGTACAGTGGGCAAATACCCCTAGGCGTTTTTTAAATTTTTGTGATACAGGCTTTTAGAATGGTTTTATTTGAGTTTTTTGGCTGTGTTATAGCAAATGTATTACTGAGTTAGTGTGCAGTGTTACCACATTTGGGCATGAGTCATCACAATGGAATGCAGGGCATCAACCAATAGGCATACAGCTTTCCTCTATTCTCCTTGCTGATTGGCTGTTGGAATTTAACAGGCTTAACTTAATTAATACCTGCTCAGATCCATTCCATACTGACAGTATGTCTGTATTCAAGTGTTTTGGTAGGTATTTCAAGCTTTCCTGCTCCAGCATTGGAATGCGGGGCATGAACACTTCTTTTTTTCTTGAAAATCAACAGTTTGCATTATGCAATTAAAAATCCTAACCAATAATGTAGGGAATAGCTATCCAACTGTTGTAGTCTTAGTTGTATGTTACTTCATACTATAGTTATATCAATGTAAAGCATTGTGTTCCCTTGTGTTTCTCATTCTTTCCCTGCCATGTCGTAAAATGTGGTGAAGCCATTGCTGTATTTGCTCCAAAGCAAATGTCGGCCTTTCTAGTTTATTATGATCTTTCACAAAGTGAAAGGGAGGGCAAAACAGGTGCATACGCACCTTTATAAGTTGCCCTCCCCCATACAAAAACACATATAACGTGTTACAACATCATATGCAACATCAAAATTTACATCGTCAATAACAAGTAAAAAATACTTCAATATAGAAGGTTAAGCATAATTCAAATACATGTATATCTAATAAGTAGTTATAATATATTGCATTGATAAAAAAAGACTTGAGCAAGAGTCTTGGATCTTTTCAGACCAGTCTTGTCACATGTTGATAGTTCCAATAGAATCATGTGTTCCTACAATGGTGTTTTACATTAGTTGATGTCTAAAATAGTGAAAGTTGCTCCCTTAATATTTGTAGACCACAACGTACGTTGAATTATTTCGAGCAATAGTTGTATCTCCGCAATAGCTGTTTGTATTGACAGACGGTATAATGTACGTACCACTGGTTACCATCTTCGATGTTAATTTATTTATTTATTAGAATTCACCACAAGTACAAGCATACAAGTGGAAGGGAGGACAAAACAGGTGTATTCACCAAAAACACAAGGATATTACACTCTATTTGTTGTCATATTCGTTCTGTAGTAAGATATCAACAATATATCGTATTTCGACCCCCTTGCGCTATCCAGCCTTGGAACTTTTACCTCCCCTGGTAGTCAAGTCAAGTATGCATCCTGGGAATGGGGAAAACGGGAACTTCATGATCAGTTTAGATGGTTGTGTGTCTCGTGCGTTACCTTTTGACTGCGAACGGTAATTTTCTTAGACTTAACGGACTAGTCTAGACGAATTGCTATATTTATGTAACATCTGTGTCAATAATATCACCAGGGTCCATAATATCGCCACCTTGAGAAATAGTGTGCTTAAAGATATTTGTACTGCAAAATACCCTAGGTATGTACATTTGATGTGTGAAGGAGTGCATACCAAAAGCATGTTGCAGTTAAAATATCTTTGAGGCAAACTGTTTCTCAAGGTGGCGATATTATGGACCCTGGTGATATTATGGACACAGATGTTATATGTATTTTACCTGTTTTTCGGTGACAGCCATCCGCCACCCCACTGGACAGTGCCATCCAGTACAAAAATAAAGCAATCGAATGAAATCAAATGAAATCAAACAATATCAAACGTAAACTAACTGATAAATGTCAGCCCAATTATCTAGTGACCCTTCTCACTTGTCAGCGATTACAGGTCATAGCTATCATCACTTCACCGAACTTGTTTTATCGCCGTAGGCAAATTACTGTAATTATCGTCCTGAAACAAGGCCACAAACGTTGTTCGCCCGAATGCTTGATAAGTGTTTACAGCTCTAGTTGAAAAAAAGTATTAAGGACAAAAGAATTTACACGACATAAGGTGGAATATCTTTGACAGAAGAGATAGTGTGTGTCCTAGGCTTTATATGCATGAACCACAAAGAAGTGTTTCATCATGCTTTTTCATTTGGGCCATGGCGAGGCAGAACAGAAGTGGCCTGTGTCAAGTCAAGGACATTTCCTGGTGACATCAGTTCTGTATTTAGCGTTGTGTACAGAAACTTCTTCTTCTCTTTAATGTCCAACTACTGTGGAAGACGCCTCCTGTCTCTGACATTAGCCTCAGAATACTCTTTGTACGATCACAGTTTAAAGTTCACGCATGCAGCAGAATGGATCGTTTGCCTTTAGCTTGCCGTGTGACATTAACCCATTTTTCATGGATACTCGTTTTGCTTCTACTGTTTAATGGCGATGGAGTTTCAGCACAAGGTACGTGATATATAAGGCACCATTATTGAAATGTAGTTACTCGTAAAAATGTCGTGTGCACCCTATTACTCGTAAAGGCCCCTATTTGCCACGATTATTTCTTGAGCCGATGGCCACGCCACGGCTAATATGGGTGGGTCCATATCTACAATTCTACTAAGTGTCGCACGTCGTTTACACTATGTCTTCTTCTTTTATCATGTATCTCGTTTGCAGCGCGCGCTATGTATCTTTCATTATGATGGACAAGACAGGTTGCTTATTTTTATTCTTAGTCAAGATCAGTCAGAAACCCCAGTAGTGGGACTAAGAAGCACACGCAGTCCTGTCAGTAAATCCTTCTCAGAAAACGTGACAGGTAAATTTAAAGATGAGTCACACAAGGAAATGGTTGTGTAATCGCTTATGTGATTGTCTAGTCCACTACTGAGGCTTCTCACTCATGGTTGATGTATATCTGGGAATATATTCTAGGCACACTAATACCAAATTTCATGTCATTTGGTATACAAGGGTACAGGACACCAGAATATATATAGTTTTGGTCTGAAATTAGCCAAAATGAAGGAACCAGAACAATGAATACTAATCGGCCGATGGACGCGCAAAAATGTACTAAAAGCTTGGGCATATGTCAAAGGCACCCGACATGAAATCTGAGGTCGTGTGGTTTAAAGAAGGCAACATTTGTGAGAAAATATTTGTATCCGTATCTGTATACTATACTTAGTTGCCGGTATAACTGCCGTCGGGCGTAACACAGACACCCTTTACACTGAACGACCTGTCACACGCAACCTTTGTACATCTAGCTCTGCGCATTGTTAAAAGCTTTCAAGTGATGATATCGATGCCCTTACTGTAATTAGTGGCAACGAGATCTACTATAGCTGTAGGAAAATTTGTGAACGTCTCAATCCAGGGTTGATAACTCTGGTACTTAATTCAAATGCAGGGTAGCTTGCATTAGGTACTTAGATGTAATAATTGGTGCGTCCATCAGTTTATTAGGCATTTTGTACATCATAAGAATTTCTATTTTGTCTTCGAGTGAAATCCACTGTACTAGCACCCCTTTCATAGTTGTTGGTACAGAATCATGCTGGATTCGGTGCCATTTCCAGTTTGCCTACGTGTCTCTTTGTATATAGGTCATGACATACTCTAGGTTTGGTCTGTGTGCAGGTGATTTTACACCTCGTTGAGCATGCCCACAAATTACGTACGTTTGATCACTCCTAATGTCTATGTCACCTTTAGCATGATTATTGTTTGGGGCAACGATGTTGCATTTTTTTTCTCCCTGAACATTGTTACCTTTACCAATAAGGTTGTGTATTCGGTGGCGTTTGTATGTATGTATGTGTGTGTGTGTGTGCGTGCGTGTGCGTGCGTGTGTGTGTGCACAAGTGTGTGTGTGTGTGTGTGTGTGTGTGTGTGTGTGTGAGAGAGAGAGAGAGAGAGAGAGAGTGTCTGTCTGTCTGTCAACACGATAACTCGAGAAAGTTTGAATGGTTTGTGTTAAAATTTGGCATGCATGTGTAGGCCTTGATGGGTCCTCGAAATGATTAAATTTTGGCCCCCCTGGTGGCTTTTATACTGTAGCGGAACTGTTTGAAATTTCTATTCATTTTTTAAACCATATCAATTACCATTCCAATATGTCAATGCAGACACCGACGACTGTATTGGTGTGACCTGTCAAAATGGAGGAATTTGTGTGGACGGCGTAAACCGCTATAGCTGTAATTGTGCACCTGGCTTTGAAGGACGTCACTGTGAAACAAGTAAGTACATTGTACGTACTCCAATGATAAATGAATATGAAATACACATGTGCAGTCATAATTCTAAGACCTCAAAACAATCATTGAACTAATATCATAAGTAAGAAGAGACTGGGGTTTACAAGGTGGCTCGCCCTCCCCACTCTGAAGGGGGAGGTAAAAATATTGTGCTATTACAATCAAAACATACCAAAACTAACTTCCCTAAGCTTGCTCTTGGCCCACGTCTTGTGGGTGTGCCTCCTGTACAGCTTTAAGGCCTCATTAGAATTATTATTAGTTTTTAATATTATTACAATTGTATATAATGAATGATATTTTATAGCAGTGTATTGTATTGCATTTTTAAGAGTATTGTATGTTATTGTAGGAATTTGTATTTCATGTCAACAATTGTTCGACTTTGTAATTTGTATTGCACTGTATTTATATTGTTGTGTTTGGGAGGACAACTTGTAAAGGTGTCAATACACCTGTTTTGTCCTCCCTTCCACTATGTTTATAGTTGTGGTGAATTCTAATTGAAAACAAATAAACAACAAGAGTTCCGAGATCTCATACCTCCATGAAATATGGGCTTGCTTTGTAATCATTAAGTCAAATTAGGTCATCATTTGCATAATTGGTATCAGTTCCGCCTGCCACATATTAAATAGACCAACCTAAAGTTAGCCCTCCTTTCGGCCTTCGATTCGCCAGCCTTCGATTGAGCCTTCGATTCGAATGGTAGGCACTATTTCGGATACGTCTCAGGCGCGGAAGCATTCTACTGTCCCATATATGCAAATGAGCACGCATACAGTATGTAAATAGACATTTCACATACGTATGTCAAACCAAACCACAACCTTTCAGACTCTGTATTCATTTGATTAAATAATCTTCTAATCTTTAACTACCAAATGAGTTTTAATAATCTTTAAGTGGTCGATACTATCAAAATGAATCAACGCACATGGATTCATCTTCACGTCAAAGATTCAAGAATGCCGTCCAGGACCGCACCCGACATGTTTCAATTAGACGCCTTGTTGCAAAGTAACGAAATAATTTTCTGTATTCAAATGTTTTTAACAATCTTTTAGCGGTCTATACCATCAGATAAAACTGATAAAACTAACGTACATTACGAAGTTTAGACGTCATGACGTCATAGATTAAACAATACGGATTTTCGAGGATCGCAACACTAGTGGATGCATAGAGAATTAACGCCATATTGCAAAGTAACGGAATAATTTATAGAAACCAAATGTCTTTAAAAAATTCTCAAGAGGTCCATACCACAAAATTCGACTGATAAAACCAACGTACATTGCGTCATTTGGACGTCATGACGTCATATATTCAACCATACAGATTTTTAGGGCCAGAATCCCTGTTTATATAATTATATTCAACTACTCGTAGCTAATTAACGAAATAATTCTTAGTTTTTAAATCAATTTTAACAGTCTTTTAAAGGTCCATACCATCAAATAAAACTGATACGTCTAACGCACATTGCGTCGGTTTGACGTCATGACGTCATAGATTCAACCAAACATATTTCTAGGGCCAGAATCCCTGTTTATATAATGATATTTAACTACTCGTAGCTAATTAACGAAATAATTCTTAGTTTTCAAATCAATTCTAACAATCTTTTAGAGGTCCATACCACCAAATAAAACTGATAAACTAACGCACATTGCGTCGTTTGGACGTCATGACGTCATAGATTCAACCATACAGATTTTTTTGGGCCTGAATCCCTGTTTATATAATGATATTTAACTACTCGTACCTAATTAACGAAATAATTCTTAGTTCTCAAATCAACTTTAACAATCTTTTAGAGGTCCATACCATCAAATAGAACTGATTAAATCTAACGCACATTGCGTCGTTTGGACATCATGACGTCATGGATTCAACCATACAGATTTGTAGGGCCTGCATCCTGTTTAGTATGATATTCAACTACTCGTTAGCTAGCGCTAATTAACGAAATGACTTTTCGTTCTCAAATCAATTTTAACAATCTTTTAGAGGTCCATACCACCAAATAAAATTGATACAACTAACGCACATTGCGTCGATTTTACGTCATGACGTCATAGATCCAACACTCGATATTCGATATTCAGTATTGAACTCAATATTCAACTTAACTACTCGTAGCTAATTAACGAAATAATTTTAAGTTTTCAAATCAATTTTAACAGTCTTTTAAAGGTCCATACCATCAAATAAAACTGATAAAACTAACGCACATTGCGTCGTTTGGACGTCATGACGTCATAGATTCAACCATACAGATTTTTTGGGCCTGAATCCCTGTTTATATAATGATTTTCAACTACTCGTACCTAATTAACGAAATAATTTTTAGTTCTCAAATCAATTTTAGCAATCTTTTAGAGGTCTATTTCATCAAATAAAACTGATAAATCTAACGCACATTGCGTCGCTTTGGCGTCATAGATTCAACCATCATGCACGGTGGCAATTCATGGCCACACCGACAGAACTACATGTAGAACGCAACTGGTCTGACATGTATGACTTAAGGGCACGATTTGCAAATTTTTTGCCAAGAAATATAGATTTATGACCAGTACTAGTATATACATACCGTACTCTGCAGAAGGAATCCAATGTGCTACTTTTCCCTGCAACTTTTTGGCGACGCCTCAGGGGGGAGCCTAATGGTACAGTATTGTGTGCAGTTTGCAAGAATTCTAGGAATTGCACAGGCATTTTTTCCACAGGAATGGAATGTCTACAGGCATGTCTGGGATTTTGCTGACACACATCTATGCCCACATTCCTACGTAGTGAATTTCCAAGAAACCCTTGGGACATTGTGGAAATTGTACAGATTCACAACTGAGCAGACACATGCTGATTTACATCCCTGTCCACTCCCATGCAGCATTATCTAGCTCATATAGCTATAGCTCCCATGATGTTAATGATGTAAGCAGTAAGTGATTTTTCTGAATTAGTGTAGAACATCTTCCCCTACGTATCATCGACAGTCTTCAACTCTGCTGCATTTGAACAGGTACTATATCTTTCTCTCTATAATAATTGAGAGGTTTATTGCAAATTCATGCCCGGAGGTTAATTGCCAGTTACAAACATAAAAGAACATTGAAGAACAGTATATAAAATAACTAAAATCCACATAATGAAAGGTAGTTGTCTAAAATTATAGCTACGTCTAAGTCTAAAACTATGTCTGAAGGGTTTGACTTCTCTTTTATAACTGTAGAAGACACGTGTAACGTTATATCTGTAAGTCTCCTTCTCAGCATTTCCCCAACATGTTCAGGGTCACAATGTGAGTTATCAGAATGCCACAAAGAGGAGTATCCATTATGATCTAATACCGGTATGTCTTTAACACGTTGCAATAAAGTTTGTCTACGGGTATTTGTAGGCTTTGCTGTAAGAAAGAGCATCCGTTTGAAGGGAGTGTGAGGTTGTGTCCATTTGGACCAAGCATAACCAGAATTTAACTACTAGTATATCTATATACAAATATCTGTATCTAAAGGAAGTCTACCTAATTCTGCTGTACATTGCTTACTATTTCTAAATACACCAAGAACATTTTTTACAGAATTGGTTGTGTACATTTTCGATAGGTGAGGTCTCATATGTAGTTTAATATAATATTTCTTGTGGACATCAGATGTTGACGTTCAACTTGATAGGTTGTTAACGTTAGGTAAGCATAACCAAATCCTTCGACTAGATCAATTTTGTTATAGGACAATTATTCCCCGGTAATCATTCTCAATGGCAGATTATTTCCTGTACATTTAATAGTCCTTTATAACAGACTTACGTTTCACCTAAAATTAAAATCACACAAATCTATCACAGTTCCAACAACAGAGGAAGATTTTTACTTTTTACGATCGACACAGGTGTCCTGTAGGGCTCTTTTTATTCATAAATACATTGGATGTTGTATTACCTTCTAAGGATTGCCAGGCCGTAAGAAGCACGTGGAAGGTCCCCATTTGGACAACCACACAGAACTGAAAACTAGCCCTTGTAGTGGTGAAACAGACCGCCGTGTTTCCCTGATGGGATCGGAAAACACCTCTAAGCTGACCCGCTGAGACTGGTTACCAGGCTTATAATCTCTGAACTCAGGCCGCAAATCTGTACCTCCCTGTGATGACTGCCTCAAACCAAGCCAAAGTGATCTCTCTTTTCAGCCGACAATCAGTCTGCTTTCCTCACATACCTACAATCATACCCACATTCCTTTCCCACATGCCTTTCAAATGTCCTACATTCTGACATTCTGATCATTCTGGTCCACATTCCAGGATTCCCCACATGCCTTTCAAGTGTATGTCCTACATTCTGGACCACTTTCCTACGAAGTGAAATTCCAGGAAACCCTTGCGACATTGTGGAAATTGAACAGATCATTCACAACTGACACAACGTGGAGTAACCCTGTTCCAACATGCCAAGGTCAGATCACCTGCTAGTAATATATGGTAGCACATTTTGTAGGTGATCGGCACTACAGATAGTACATACTAAGTTAAGATAACAGGTCCGGTAGTGTCCCAACTTCCAATGGTATCAGCATGTGTTGTATCGGATGCGTGGTCTCGCTTGAAAGTGACCCTGTCCCCAAAATGTACAGGTAAAACAAAGACATGTACCTTTCCTTTCTCAGTAGTGACCAACCGTTCTGCTGTAATGGCTCTATCACATGGTTGTCTTCATGTATGCTCTGTCGGTGCAAACACCTCTCTGGATGTGATGTCAACGTGATACACGGTTCTTGGCAATACCATTGCTCCATGACCAGGCTGGGAGAACTGTATATAGAATGCAACTGTTCTGACATGTCTTGGTATGAATCCGTATGATTTAAGGGAAAGGTTTGCAAATTTTGCCAAGAACTATCGATTTTTTAACCGTATGTTTTTTTTTATTCATCAAAACATCAAAACATAACAAGGACAGTGAGGCGCTGCACT